GCGGAATGGTTGTCGTGAGCGTGTCCTTGAAACTTGAGTTCCAAGTGGCATATACAACAGATTGTTTATTTACATCAAAACATGTGTTCCGTGTAGTAGTAATATGGCCAAAAATAAAAACAGCCGTTATTCGGCCATCTTTGATCTGATTATGAAACACACTGATATGTATGATGTATGTGCCAAATACGAATGATAGTGGAAGTAGTTCGGCCATCCTTGACCAGATTTTGAAATAAATTGTCATGGACATGCATCCTAACATGTATGTACCACATTTTAATGAAAACTGATAGAGCATGTCGAAGATATGGCATAAAAAAAACGATGCCTGCCAGTCGGCCATTTTGAATCGAATCGCTAAACCACTGCATGTGCATATGTACCACATAAGGTACTGGGCACATGCAAAGAATGAACAGAATCGGCCCAAGGGATTCTGAGATATGACTCCGGACGGACGGAGACCGAATTATAAGTTCCCGTTTTCAGACTTCGTCCGAACGGGGACTAATTAGGCAAATCAGGTAACTAATATGAACAGATTTGAGTGTAAAACTAATAAGGTCTGCGTAACGTAATATCTATGTACTAAGTTTCATTGTGATTATGAACAGATTTTAACCCAAAATTAATCAGGCCTGTCTATTGTCCTAGACCATTTATAAATCAAGATTTATTCAAATGTGATGATCAGTAATTGAGATATCAGTGTTAATTAGGTGATTAGTAAGCATAAATATTTCCCAAAAACTAATTGGGTCTCTACATAGTCCTAGGTTCATTGAAATGCGATGAGTACTCTTTAAAAGTGTCATTAAAATGAGTGGTTCAGCCATGGAACAGCAAAAAAATAGGTAATTAATGTGCACAATTATTTACCCCAAAACTAATAAGGTCTCTGCACAGTGCTTAAGTAACTATGTACCAAGTTTCATTGAAATGTGATGATTATTACTTGAAATATCAAACAAGCAGCCTATCGGCTGAGATAGCTCCGCTGTTAGCAATGCACATTTCAATTAAAGAACTGAAGACATCATTAGAAAATGAACAATATGAACAGTATCAAAGCAATCAGACTTGCAGTTTTTAACAAGAAGTCGAAAATATCACTTTCTACCAAAAATGACCAAAATATTCACCAAAATTAGAGAATTGAAGATATCACCACGAAATGAACAAATCTGAGAGAGATCTACCTGTATAGGTACCTATATGTATAATATCAAAGCAATCGGACTAGTGGTTTACAACAAGAAGTCGAAAATATCACTTTTTACCAAAAATTACAAAAATATTCACCAAAATAAATTAATTAGAGAATTGAAGATATCATCATAAAATGAACAAATCTGAGAGAGGTCCACATGTAGTACCTAAGCAATTGGACTTACAGTTTTCAACAAGAAGTCGAAAATATCACTTTTTACCAAAAATGACAAAAATATTCACCAAAATTAGAAAATTGAAGATATCAACATGAAATGAACAAACCTAAGAGAGGTCTACCCAAGGTACATATACACCAAGTATCAAAGCATTCAGGCTTGTAGTTTTCAAGAAGAAGTCGAATAAGCAGCCTGTCGGCTGAGATAGCTCCGCTGTTAGCAATGCACATTTCAATTAAAGAACTGAAGATATCATTAGAAAATGAACTATATGTATAGTATCAAAGCAAAGGACCTTGCTGTTTTCAACAAGAATTCAAAAATATCACTTTTCACCAAAAACGACAAAAATAATCATCAAAATTAAGTAATTGAAGATATCACCACGAAATTAACAAGGTCCACATGTAATACCTATATATGTAATATAAAAGCAATCAGACTTGCAGTTTTTAACAAGAAGTCGAAAATCTCACTTTTTACCAAAAATGACAAAAATATTCACCAAAATTAAAGATATCTTTACAAAATGAACAAATCTGAGAGAGGTTCACATGTAGTACCTATGTATGTAATATAAAAGCAATTGGACTTGCGGTTTTTAACAAGAAGTTGAAAATATCACTTTTTACCAAAAATATTTACCAAAATTAGAGAATTGAAGATATCATTACAAAATGAATAAATCTGAGAGAGTTCCACATGTAGTACCTATATATGTAATATCAAAGCAATTGGACTTGCGGTTTTTAACAAGAAGTCGAAAATATCACTTTTTACTAAAAATGACAAAAATATTCACCAAAATTAGAGAATTAAAGATATCATTACAAAATGAACAAATCTGAGAGAGGTCTACCCAAGGTACATATACACCAAGTATCAAAGCATTCAGGCTTGTAGTTTTCAAGAAGAAGTCAAAAAAGTAAAACATTGACACGGACGACGGACGCCGCCGGACAATCACTCATATGATAAGCTCTGCTCGACAAAGTCGACAGCGGAGCTAAAAAGTAAAACATTGACACGGACGACGACGGACAATCACTCATATGATAAGCTCCGCTCGACAAAGTCGACAGCGGAGCTAAAAAGATGAAAATTAATTAATTATGCACTGATATTACCCTAAAAACTATCAGGTCTGTGCAGTGTCCTATGACATCTATGTAACGAGTTTTATTGATACGTGAGTGGAAACACCAAAAATTGATTAATCATTATGCCTATTTAGGGTAATTATTATGCACAGATTTTTCCCCAAAACTAATCAAATCTGGGCAATAGTTCAGAGCATCTATGTGCAAAGTTTCATCAAAATCCAATGAGTAGTTCTTTAGATATCAGTGGAACAGCTAAAAACCAGGTAATTAATATGCATGAAACACCAAAAATTGATTAATCATTATGCCTATTTAGGGTAATTATTATGCACAGATTTTTCCCCAAACCTAATCCAATTTGTGCATTGGCCCAGAGCATCTATGCACCAAGTTTCATCATAAATCAATGTATGGTTCTTGAGATATACCCACGAGCATCAAAAAATGTTTGCATGGCGCCTTCTATTCTTATTCTGCCGTTTTTCAAAACTTTTCTTCTTGAATATTATTCTTACAGCACTTTTTGAAATATGCAGTTTGATCAGTTTTGTAGCCATTTTCTTTAAACATGGCAGGGAATGACATAAAAACTGGAAGGACTAAATTTCACCGTAGTATCTGTGGCATTTGCTCACCATTACCCGGTTAGGAAACGCCTGAGTTCACAATGCGCGTTTTGCGTTAGTAAAATTAGCTTACTGGTATTCCCCACACTGTCTACATTAACATAAAATTAGCACATAGTATGACATCATTTTCACCCAGAATACCTTGCAATTCATTTCTGCGCAGACGTACACAACTTTATTTTCAAGTTTCAACTATCTGATATCCAGCGACAGTGATATTGATTGAGATGACATATTGGAAAAAGGACCCCAGTATTTAGATGCAGGATATATGCACGAAGAGGATGTAAAAAACACAGACTACATCGTCACCACCATCGTCGTCTAGTATGGCTTTAAGTTGGCACCTGACCACAAACAAGATAGAATTTTTAACTGGAAAAACTGAATGGAAATAATATTAATTCCATCTTTTAAGTTTTTGCTGTTCCTATTTCTCACGGAATAACATTTTTTGTTAGCGACACCAAACAGCCATCTTGATTCATACACAACACCTACGGCAAAAACAAATGGAAATTGAATGACTGAAATGAACACGTTCCGGCACTTATGCACAAAGTAAAAAATATTGTTCAAAAACAAGTCATTAAAAATGACACAGTCCCCGTTAAGTTTTTTTTGTGCTCGTCATATTAAAGCGGAGGGATTGTTGCGAGTGTGTCCTTGAAACTTGAGTTCCAAGTGGCGTATACAACAGATTGTTTATTTACATCAAAACACGTGTTTCGTGTCATAGTAATATGGCCAAAATAAAAACAGCCGTTATTCGGCCATCTTTGATCTGATTATGAAATACACTGATATGTATGGTGTATGTGCCAAATACGAATGAAAATGGTACATAAATTGTGGAAATATAGTAATAAGGCTAAAAAGTCAGATGGCTTCAATCGTCCATCCTTGACCAGATTTTGAAACAATTTGTCATGGACATGCATCCTAACATGTATAAAGTACATGTATGTGCCAAATTTGAATGAAAACTGACAGAGTACGTCCAAGATACTGCATAAAAAAAAAAAACAAGATGCCTGCCAGTCGACCATCTTTGATCCAATTGCGAAATAAATCATCATGGACATGTATAATCTATGTACCAAGTTTGAATGACAACTGACAAAGCATGTCCAAAATACAACATTTTCAAAAAACAAGATGGCTGCCAGTCGGCCATTTTGAATCGAATCGCTAAACCACTGCATGTGCATATGTCCCACATAAAGTACTAGTCACATGCAAAGAATGAACGGAATCGGTCCAAGGGATTCTGAGATACGACTCCGGACGGACGCACAGAGACCGAATTATAAGTCCCCGTTTTCGGACTTTGACAGACTCAGGAACTCACGAACGGTCGGGGACATGTATCCTAACATGTATGATCTATGTACTAAATTTGAATGAAAACTGACAAAGTATGTCCAAAATACAACATTTTCAAAAAACAAGACGGCTGCCAGTCGGCCATTTTGAATCGAATCGCTAAACCACTGCATGTGCATATGTCCCACATAAAGTACTAGTCACATGCAAAGAATGAACAAAATCGGTCCAAGGGATTCTGAGATACGACTCCGGACGGACGCACGGACGGTCCGACGGACAGACTCAGGAACTCACGGACGGTCGGGGACATGTATCCTAACATGTATGATCTATGTACTAAATTTGAATGAAAACTGACAAAGCATGTCCAAAATACGACATTTTCAAAAAACAAGATGGCTGCCAGTCGGCCATCTTTGATCCAATTGTGAAATAAATCATCATGGACATGTATCCTAACATGTATAATCTATGTACCAAGTTTGAATGAAAACTGACAAAGCATGTCCAAAATACAACATTTTCAAAAAACAAGATGGCTGCCAGTCGGTCATTTTGAATCGAATCGCTAAACCACTGCATGTGCATATGTCCCACATAAAGTACTAGGCACATGCAAAGAAAGAACAGAATCGGTCCAAGGGATTCTGAGATATGACTCCGGACGGACACACAGACGCACAGAGACCGAATTATAAGTCCCCGTTTTCGGACTTTGTCCGAACGGGGACTAATTAAAGTATCAAGTCACAATTTGACAACGACTGTGATTGTATTGGGGGTGGTAACGTGATTTACCAGGGTTGAAACTATTGTGGTATTGCCGTAACGCATACAGTAATAACGAATGAACATGACAGCTACAGTTTGAAATCAAGATAATGAATATGGATTTTAAATAAAATTTACCGACGTTGCTTGAAAACACACAATATTTGTAGACATAACACTGAACTTAGGCGAGGGTTCTCCGAACCCGCCTATTCACATAGTTCATACCCACCATAGACTCCGGTCAGTCAAAATGACTATTTTGAACTGTAGGCATTA